ATATATATATATATATATATATATATATATATATATATATATATATACATAAAAAGTAAAACGCTTGCACAATTAACATGGCAAGTATAAAATAATTTTTACAACGTTTATATTAATTCTGACTGCAGACGAACCTTTGGGAACACTAGCGTCTTTTTCTTTCAACATGAATAACTATAAAAATCTATAGTTTGGCTAATTACCGTGAGTTTATAAATATTTAATTAAAATTATCCAGAGTGACTTACAAACCTTTTTAATCACACTTGTAATAATTCTTCATACAAAATACAAACGATTTCATATAAAAACTTTTATTAATTCATCTATTTCGGTTTAATGCATGGTGTAAAAATAAATTAATGAATTACAATTAAACGATCGAATAACTCACAAACTTTTTCACGTGCACTTTATCAAAAGTCTTTATATGCGAATACAAACGATTTCATATAGAGATCCTGAAGAAAAAAAAATGTTTATTTCCGGTCAAATACATACGACGGTCGATAATAAATCATCCAAAAGACATATCTCGTTGCAGAAATTGAAAACTATAGCTTCAAATGGAGGGGAGGGGAGGGGAGGAAAAAAAGGTTTCGCCTTCCGCACCTCATTTTCTCTTGATTGGTGCAAAGGCTTTGCCATCGTGATCCCCAAAAAAGAGAGGAAGAGAGGCTTGGCCTTTCCCCCCCCCCAAACCTCTGACCGGTGAGACTTTTCCACTCGCCAGACTGTCCCTTCCTTCCCCCCTTCTCCCGAGACCGCGTGGATAGTGGTGGTGGTAGAATGGGAGGGACTCTGTCTCCCCATATCCCCTCGTGCCGAGCCGCGTGGACTATCACGCCTTTTAAAAATAAAAGACAGCTGAGCAGCAATGTTGCCGCCGGCGTACAATGACAATTCGACAAATATGAAATTAATTGAACCTTATTTATTATCAACAGTTAAAAATTTACACAGACGAAAAATAATTTCTTTTCTCAACAATCATTTAATGAAAAATCTGAAATTATTAATGGAAGAGAGAAAATTTAAATTTTGCTGTTTTTATCATTTTTTTTTTTTTACAATCTTTAATCGCAATCAATTGAAATCTGATTATGTTAAGTTAACACGTTGTTGTTGAAATCACCATACGACATTACCAACATTTCAATGAGCTTTTAATTGTCAAACACGTGAAACATTAGCCTTTGCACGCTTAGCAGAGATGTGTAGTACGTACATACGCCATAGACGGAAGAGAAGGCGTACAACGTTTCGTATATATACATATATATATATACATATATACATACATATATATAAATTTTGTTATTTAAACGACAACTACACATACCTGCGTTTTGTATCATTTATCGACACGCGAATAACGAGCGAGCGATATATATTATTATTTTTTGTTTATTTTAAAATGCTATTCAATTCTAGAAATGTACGTACCTTTCTGCTTTATGGAGAAACAATGACGTGTAAAATATTAAATATAAATATAAAGATTTTATATTTTAGAAGATTATATATTTTTTTAAAAAGAAACAGCATAGACAACGTCCGCCAACATTTATCCGCTTATAGCTAGCATAAAGTTATTATTTTACAAAAAATATAATACAAATTTATTTTTACGCAACAAACTATCAGAAAGCCGGTTTTTTTTTTATCTTGTTCACGTCTAAGAGGTGCCAAGGTGTAATTACTGCCACGCCAAGCTACCAACAATAATATTATTATTACAAATGTCTATAATATTTCTAGTAATTTGTCTAAACATATATATGTGTACATTTATAATTATATTGTCCAAAAAAAAACGAAACTATATGGAAAATACGACAATGATACATAGTCACGTGAAATGTATAGATAAAAAAAAAATATATGTGACGCTCTCAAGTGTCCGCGCGAGTTAACGGACTATCTGTTTACCGCATTGTATAGACGGATACATGGGGCCATAGTTTTTTTTATTCGTTAAGTAATTCATTTGATATAATATTGTTACAACAAAGGAAATATAATTCTCGCAATGTAGAACATTGTTTGAAAATAACAGAAAAATAATCAGGTGTTGTACGGAGTTGGACGCCAACGAGATACAACTTTTTCAATTTTTTACACTGCGCTAGTACGTTTAATTGTTGAAGAGTGAGCGAAGGCCAAGATAAATGCAATTCTTTCAAATTTTCACCACGGGAAAGCATATTAAATAAATTATCGTCGATATTTGAAAAATAATAAGTGAACCTGCAACAAAAATATTGTACAAATTATTACAGTACTGTATTGTGCCAAAATAAAATTTGCGTAACTTTGTGCGCGCAATAAGTTGATGCTCGGCCGAAAGAAGCAAACAAATTTTAAACAAAAAAATTCAATAATGTGTTTTTTTTTATGTAACATATACACTTACAGATTGAATTTTATTCTTTCCAACTTTGTACAGTTGGCGAGAGCATTAATACCCCGAGATGTAATATGCCTTGGGCCGAATGATGATGATAATACTTCTAAATTGCGACACGACGTCCCCAACTCTATTAGAACTGCATCGTTTATGCGCTCAACCGATAACTCACGCATCCGTTGATTATTTTGCAATATTCTGCAAAGACGTTCGTAACTTATAATAGTATTAAAAAGATTTAAATGTTCCAAGGTATTTAGCTCCTCAAGATATGAAAATCCTTCATCTTCCACGTAACAATAACTGAGATCCAATTCTATGGAAAACGTCGTATATTAGAAATTGTGTGTTGAACAATTTACCATAATAATCCTGACAATTATTTACATATATTATATGCGCATATATTTACCTTTCAAATTTGTGCACGTGTTTGGAATTGCACGTAGGACAACTTTTAAATCGATATTGCTATTCGTTCGTATAACCTGTGCATCGTAACGCTCGTCACTGAGTCTTAAATGCGTTAAACGACTACCGCATTTCTTAATAAAGCTTGCCATATTTTTGCCTGTATATGTGCATCCTGTGACATCTAATTGTCGCAAATGTTTACATCTATGTGTAAAATTATGTAATATATCGCGTATGTATTTTTCAGATCTATTGATCCATCGCATGTTTAAACTTTTATAGAGTTCACGGTCTCGTGTTAAATAATTGAAACGTCTATCTACACGACTTGTGTTGCATAACGTCGCCAAATCCAAATGTTTAAAAATCATCAGTAGCACTTCGTTCTGCAAAGAGATAAAATATATAATTTTAACATTCGAAATGACATTTCAGAATAATATAATAAGAACGTGACATTTTGGAGAATACTTTACAGGAAGCGCAGATAAATGGCAACTTGACGACGACGATGATAATGGCTTCGTGTTCAAACGCTTATTGGCATTAGTTGAATGTGCTTTTATTAAAATACGACGTGAATATCTATATCCGAGAAGTTGCGTATAACCAGGAATTACTTTTTTAGGCACTTTTATACGCCTCACATTATTATTACTATGAGAAACACTCGCTATATCGCTGCAAATGCAATTGATTGACAAATATTAATCATCATTATTAATAGATAAAAAATAGTATCGTATGCACCAAGGGGCAAAAGTAGCGTTTTATTTCAGACAAGTGTAAAGTTTGCCGCTTCCGAGCCGAAAAGGCAAAGGCGGCAAACTGTATACACACGTTTGAAAAACGCTACTTTTGCCCCTTGGTGCACAAGATATTCTTCACAATATCTTTACGGAGAGTTTGACTTTTATGCCTATAGAAAGAGAGAAAGAGAGAGAGAGAGAGAGAGAGAGAGAGAGGGGGGGCGATTTCGCACGCCAGGACGGCATAGCGGGACAAAATTAATCACTTTCCGCCCGCTATGCCGTCCTGGCGTGCAAAATGGCCGCACTCTCGCCTCTCTCTCTACAGGCATGGAGGTCAAACTTGACGTGGAGATGTTGTGAGGAAGAATTTACATATCAATCTAACCTTGATGGATAATAATACAACACGTACCTATTAGAAATGTTGCAATAATGTTGAAAATTTTGTTGCAGATAAGCTATATCCAAATGTATACTATTTAAATCTTCCGTAAAATTATAATAAACATTGTTGCAATGTGGATAGTACATGGAGTTTATTTTTTTTATCATATCCATTAAACTTTCATTGGGATTTCTAGAATGGATCAATTTCGATGTACCGATGAGCATCACGGCGTCTAGCTTTGTGTAAGAAATCTGCCAATTGCCTTCAAACACTATTCTGAGCATCTTGGTTTTTATAGTACACGACAGCGGCGACAATGGTGGAACGAATAATCTTGATTGCGGGGGTATATCATGCAAGAAATACTGATAACGAGAAACGCTCCACAATTCATGCCACGACCCATTAGAATCTTGAGCCGAAATTTGACGTACGCTTCCAGGCGTACATATTTCGTAAATACAAACTCTAATTGGATATACAGCTTCGTCAAACTCGATATCTGTAAATGGAGAAAATATTAATTACATTCACTCTCTTGTCTCTCTGGTGCAAAAGTAATATGGCATTTTCCTCCCAAACAATATCTTTTATTATTAATTTAAATATTATACATACCGATACATCTTTTGTCGTTTGTTGCATAAAAATCGGAATGTCTCAACTGTTTATCTTCCGGTCTCAAAATATCTTTTTTTCGCCACGGAGATATTGAAACACCAGTACCATCCTGAATCATCTATAATGATGGAGAAAATTGAAAATCTTGTAACGTGTAACATTCTATATATATATAATGTTAATTTATTTGTGCAGGATTATTGTAACGGAAAAAATGTAAATATAGTACATTATAGAAAATATACTTACATGAAAATCATTAAACGTGATTGATAAATCCACTAATTTTCCGTAATGTTGAAATTTCGGCGGCCCAATTATCTCAGGAGCAGTATGAAATATGCTAAAATTCTCGTGATCCACAGGAACAAATCTTTTCTTGACAAATTGATAGATAAAGTCAACCTTATCCCCTTCTTTCGCTCCTACTACGGACACTCTGTCGACATAAGGATATCGACTACAATTCTCCCATGATGAAAATTTATCGTAGCTCGTCATCGTATAATGGCCTTATATCTCGCGTTGTTTCGACAAGAGTACCACCGGCTGGACAGACACGCGGACACTAGAATTGCACATATCAAAAATAAACATAATACAAATACGCATACCATTATTAGCCGATATCACAAAGTCTCCGATTAACGTGAGCCTCCGATTAAGCTCACTCTTTGTCTCTTTCTAAGAGAACAGTTGGAAAAAGATGCAACGAGTAAACTATTTAATCGGAGCGTCACGTTAATCGGAGAGAGAGACTGTGTGTGTGTGTGTGTGTGTGTGATACCGGCCCTTATAGACGCATCACTTGCCTGGCGTTTTGACAATCGCACGATATAATATATCATCGGCACACCCGACATACTCGTCCACGCGAGATTCACACAAATTATTGAATGAAAAACAAGCGAAAAACGCAGAGTACGTCACGTTAATCGGAGAGAGAGACTGTGTGTGTGTATGTGTGTGTGTGTGTGTGATATCGGCCTTTATAGACGCATCACTTGCCTGGCGTTTTGAAAATCGCACGATATAATATAGCAGAGTACGCTCAATGTCAACTCCAAAGGACACAGGACACGGCAGCCGCCACAGTCACTCATGTATCGTCGCTACCGCACAATGCAAGAGAACACGCGACAATGTAAACCGAAGGTTCGAGGCTTCGCGACAATTTGAATAGGGGGGGGAGAGGATGGAGTAGCGGTTGACGGTTAAATGACTAGGGACGGTGCGATGCGCGTTCAGGGCGTTCACGGTACCTGTACTAGTCACTTTACTTGTACCCCACTTTATTCCCACCACGCGAATTGCCGCGGGAAGCCTCAAACCCCCAGCTTGCGTCGTTGCGCTGTGCCGTACGGAGGCGCGAATTTGAGATTAAATATACTCTGCGCTTTTCGTTTGTTTTTGAAGTAAAACTTCTTTAGGCACGGTAGTGAATTTGATTCGCGACACGAAAAAGTGTAACAGAAGTGAAACTTCTTTGGTACGGTAGTAAGTTTGATTGTGCGACACGAAAAATGTAACAAAAATTTGACCAATAGGCTTACAGCGTTGACGAGACGGTTTTTCTTCTGGCACGGTAGTAAGTTTGATTGGCCTAGTTTACACCGATCACTTGATACGCGTATTAAATTGTAAATAACTAGTAAATAAGTCTGATTATTGGCTGATCAGTTCAAATATACTATTTGATACGCGTATCAAGAAATCGGTGTAAACTAGGCCATTATGCGACACGAAAAGTGTAACGAAAATTCGACCAATAGGCGTACGAAATGAAACTTTTTTGGTATTTTAGTGAGTTTGATTGTGCGACACGAAAAGTGTAACGAAAATTTGACCAATAGGCGTACGAAATTAAACTTTTTTAAATAAATATTTTAATTACCACTTTTGCAATTCTGGTTTTAACACAACAGTTGTTATTAACCCTGAGCGTCTATATGTTTTCTTTTCTTTTTTTGGCACGGTAGTAAGTTTGATTTTGTGACACAAAAAAGCGTCACAAATTTTGCGACATGAATTTTACGACACAAAAAGTTATGGCAAAGCCCTTGCCTTCAAAAGTTTCACTTTTAACGCGCGTGGCGACCACGCGTTCATTTTGTCTTTAAGCAACAAGTTTGTGACTGCACAACCACAGTCGCGTATTCTTAAAGCCCTGGACACACACTTTTTCGTAACAGTAATAATAGGATTTCGACCAATCGTGTTATTCGATTCGGGAACGTATGGCCGTACGTTTTCGAATCGAGCAACGCGATTGGTCGAAATCCTATTGTTACGTTCTACGGAAAGTGTGTGTGGCCAGCTTAACGTGTAAAAATCTCATACCACTTACTATGCTTACATCTTACTGTGATTGTATACTTGTGTGCTGCCATTGTGGACAACGCTTATGTTTAAACGCACTCTCGTTGACGTAGTCTAGTCGCAAAATACGCGTAGACCTAAAAAAACGTGCAACACAAGGCTTTATTATGTCATTTGAGTTTAGAAAAATATTAACAACAAATATTTTAAATTGGAATAATTAACAATTAACTTCAATTCTGCTGTCTGATGCGAAAAAAGGAATTGAAAAGTCAATGCTTTGCTGGATTCGCATAAAACTTTACCGCGCTGAATGCGAGCTACAGCAGAATGGTTGATGCTTCGCATTAAAAAGTATTGGATCGCATTAAATTCACCTTAAAAAAAATATTCCGTTATTTAATATTCACTCGGCATAGAAAAAATTATTTTTTTCGAAATTTTATTACTATTTTATATAACTATGTTGATTAAGGTTTTTCCTTTCACGGCGAGGAGCGTATTTTGTAGACGCTTATTAAGCAGGGCCTCAGCAAACTCTTGTATATATTACATTAAATTTGTATAAAATCAAATTATAATTAATTATTATGTTTATAATTGTAAGAAAAAAATGAAAATATTATGTGTATTTAGAAATTTTTCATTTGTCGGTAAATTTATATACTGTCGGAACGATATGGCAACGCTGCGCTTTTCAGGGCGCCAATTGTAAAATGTAAAGTTGATGACAAAAAGTGTTAATGTAAGTGTCAATTTCATTAATCAAAAAATATTGTGACATTTTCTTTTTATCAAAGAGAGATTTTCTAATAATAATAATGAGTGATAAGAAACATAAAATGAGGATAAGTAATGTGGGCAAAATTAAGGGATAATTTGTGAAAATAAAAGAGAAGCAGCTAGCGCACTCCAAATATTATCAATTCTACAAAGAAAAGATTCAATAAGGTATAAGGTTACAGAATCGGTAATATTATTAATTAAATAACTGGAAAGAACAAGATAATTGACATTGTAACTGTAATTTATATTTTGGTAAAAAAGTTCGATTTTGTCCGATTTTGATATATATATTTTTGGATTATTTTTATTTTTTAAAATATAATAAATAGTTGATAATAAACCGTACGTAATAAACTAAAGTGCGTGACATGAGCGCACAGTTTGCAGCGTTGCCAAATTATATTCCTTGAAAGTCGCCATTAAAAATATTCTTCTATATATAAAATCACACATTTCAAGTCAACTTTTAATATAAATATTTTGTTTAAATATTTGATGGCTCTGTATTTTTATCGGCACTATCAAAAGTATATAGAGTTTAGCGAATATGTAGCGTAGTTAATATTTAATAACTTAAATCTTAAGATAAAGAAATTATTACATTGAAATGTAGAAAATTGACTTTTTCGATAACGTCACATATAAAATATCATTAATATCAAATTTTCAAAGTCTCAATCCTTCTTTATATGTTTGGTAATGTAGTTTAATTTTTTTCTGGCGTAAAGATATGCATTTTAATTTTCTCGTGCCAAAAAATCAATTGAGCGAGGAGCACACACACTTTTGCACAACGCCGACGAAGCGCAAACATATAAGAAACGTATGCGTGGTCCATTTCCTTATGCACATGTGTATATGGACCACGCACGTTTCTTATGCACGCTTACGCCCTGTCGACGTTATGCAAAAGTGTGTGCTCCCCGCGCTTTAATTCTCAAAACTTTAATGTCATGAAAGGCAAACAGATAAAGTCTATAATTATAAATATTTTCTCGTATTTGAAAAAAAAAAAAAAACACTTACCTTGATGAAATTCAAACTCGGGAAGACCTCTGAATCGTGAGCCAACTGCCTTACGTGGTATATTATAGACTATACTTTTTTAATTTGATGTAAGTATTTTATATATAGCCTATACATATGTTATCATAATCATTAGCGTAAATATATAATTTTTCAAAAATTATCTCAAGAAACAAATTTAGTTTGAAAAGAGTAATAAAATTTTGAATTGGATATATAATATAAAATTTCTTAATGTCGCGAGTGAATGTTAGAAATCTGCGTAGTGCCCATTATGAAATTTTGTGTTTGTAAATATATTTATGAAAAAATTACATTTATAAAGTTAAAACATCCTTACAAAAACTTGCTCATTAGACAAAAATAAAAAAACCTTTTTTATGGTATCCCTATAATAAATAATGGTCAGGACCTTATCCGGGCGGGATTGGACAAGATAATAAATACATATAGCACGAGCACAAAGTATAGCAATCTCCAGCCGATCTTGCATTTCAACACTGCTCGCTACTGTTGCTGCGCTATGTAGGCGTGTGATGCAAGTAGCGCACACACACAAGAAAAAAGCTGTATACGTGTGCGCATGTATACAATATGCACGGATCTTTCCTTATATGCGCTATCCCCGCACCACGCACCTGATGGCTTCGCAGTGTTGAAACGCAAAATTTTAACAAATAAGTATCAGCTTACGCATTAAAAAGAATTCACTTGGCTTAAAATATTCCTCGCATTCAATTGCAATCGATAACCTTTAAACAAATGCAAATTCTCGCATTAAAAAGGATTCACTTTTTCCGCAAATTGTGTTTGGATTCAGAGGCATACAAGATTTGTTTACGTTCTATTCCCATCAGTATCGCACTGAAAAGTATTATTGACCCGTGATCTAATCCGAAATTATTGCAAAGCAGAATTTATGACAAAATCTCGTGAATGCAAAACAATATTTTTAATCAAGACGTTTTATGCAGGGCGCACGCAAAGAGATGAATACATTATCAGTGCTTTCAAATAAAATACTGCGATTGCTATTGCGCGGCGACGCGGTATCTTAGTTTTAGAAAATAAACAATGACAGACGACGCATGTGCGTGCGCCAGAAAAGCTGCGAATGAGATGAAAGAAATGAAACTTTTATTAGATATGCGTACAAAAGTGTTGGAAAAAGAGCAACGGGGGACGCAATAAGGTACAGATTATTATATATAATGACTGCAAAGCGTAAAATACGAGAGCCGAATTGGAGGCGTCGCGACAGCAAGTGAAAAAATAAAAGTATGTCGTATAATATATAGTTGTATAGTATATTATGT